GGGGGAATAATATCAGATTATAATCCTCTTAAAAAAATCTTGATTCCTATGTATCAATTTATGTTACTCAGAAATATCAGTTAAAACATGAGAAAGAAAGAGCGACCAGAAATCAGTCACCCCACCAAGTCCAGCAGGGGGCGACAGAGACATAATAACTGGACCGTCTTAAAATGCAGTCAAAGAAGCAAACTCTAAGAACGTTCAGTGATTTTATCCGTCTGTTTCTGCAGATTTTTACATAGATTTCAAATTTAGTTTGATTTCATATTATGCTGTTGTGGTTAAAGATCAAGTAAAGAAGTGATAATTACATGAACTACTGCCCTCTGATCCACCGTCGCCCCTGCATGGCAGAAACAGCTTTCCGTGTGAAGAACAAAAACATCGGTTTCTCAGAAACATCTTGTTTCTTTCTCATGTTTCAGACTGTAGCACTGAGTTTGCTCTTTCACAAGGTGCTTCATTCATACTTTCTGCTTTGCATTGCAAAGTTTCTTATCTTCTTTGCACAGAAGTTTGTAAATGTCCAATGCTTATAAGTACAAAGGCAAATGGAACTACACACACCCTGCATTATCCTTGTTTGCTCTAATATCACCTACAGTGTAAGATGCTCCTTTACTTTCATTTTCCCCAGGTTATCTATGGCAGATCCATTTCACAGGAAAGTATTATTTACAGCATCAGTAACAGTTGTGATATAAAATAGACTCCATTACCATGTCATGTATACTTAAAGCTTTGGTTCTCTAGGTTCTCTGGACCTTAACGGTTCTACAGCTCGTTAGCTGGTTGTGCTAATTAAAGAGATCTCAGATGTTGGTGGTGGAATCTGATGAAAACTTTCTGTGGTTTTGAGGTCTCAGTCTCAGCTGCCCTGCTGAAGCCTCAACATTCCACAACTCTGGCGTTTCCTCATTGAGCCTTAGGCATTTTTGAGCTTTTCCTGTTTCTTTTTTATGTTGCTGTTGCTTCAGATTGCTACATTAATCACTGCTTCTGGTGATCTATCTTTTTTTTATAAAGCTTGATCTGGAAATCCCACAGGATGTTAACTCTGTTATTCTCAACTTCTCTTGTTGTGTCCCCAAACTCAAATGTTCCTGTACTTTATTCCATTTGATAATAATGTTTCATACACTTTGGTTGGTAACATTTTATGACCAAACTCATAAATGCTGAATTCTAGTAGGTACATTTGTGGATATATTCCATTTGGGTCCAGTCTGATGTGACGGGATGTGAAGGAACTCCTCAACAGCTTTGCCAAAACAAGAAAGCACAACATTAAAAAGATGCTTCACAGAATTAAATATACAGAAGTTAACTAATTATGTGCACTACCCTTAGAAATAATGTTTTTTTTATAATGTAAAACAAATAAAAATATAAATCAAGAAAGCATGAAAAGGTGTTGGTGTGTTGGGTAACAGACTGTGTGCCCATCACACCAGTTTTAGGTCAATATTTGGAAATTACTGAGAAAATAGAAAAGATCAGAAGCAGCAATTGCCAGTTTAAGAAAGAACATGAGGTCAGACAGAAACTGACAGTTCTTTTCAATCTCCCCCCGGGGTCGCTTAGGGAGTAAAAATCTGTGTGAATACAGAAATCTGCCCCATTAAATCACTAAACCAAACAAACAGTTACTGTCGTTTGACAGTAACTTTAACTTGTAACTTTATGTCCTAAAACAGGCGACATGTCTCCAATCGTAGTTCTCTAGAGCTACTTGCAGGTTTTAGATGCATCCCTGCTAAAACTCACCTGAAACAAATTAATTTCTCATTTCCAGACCTTTGCTAGACGTGATTGCATACTGTAGAGATATTTCAGTCATTTGATTGAACTGTGTTTTAACAGAGATGCCTCCAGTCTGAATTTTACTGGAAGTCTGACGTGTTTAGAGGAAAAAGACATGATGAGACTGTGGTTCTCCTAAACTCCTGACCTCCTCAGTCTCACAAACTACAATGTTGGCGATAAAACAGACCTAATGATGCAACTTCTCCTTCTATTAACTCTAGAAATGTTGAACTCTAGTAATTTAAATGACACTAATCTGCTTTCATCATTTCCATGTTCTTTTACTGTCACACATCCTGGGAAGTGACAATATATGTCATGCCACACCCATCTGTAGTACCTTTAAACATGTAGAGCATCTCAAGACTTTGTCTCTGTGTGCCTTGAAGCCTTGAAGCCTTGAAGCTGTCATCCGCTTGTGTGTGTTGTGAAATGCATTTATAGTGTTTGGATGTTGAACTTATTTTCTTGATACTTTATTTTATCTCAAGATTTCACTGATGGATTACAGGCTCATCCTGTTTGGGCTCTCAGGTTTGTATCTGTTGTTTTTATTATTCTAACTTCTTAAAGTCTTTTTTCTTTTAGACTTTTTTTTTAGACCACCTTTTTTTGCTCAGATATAGAAATGTGTAGGGAAAAATAAAAACACTTCAGTTATTACGAAAAATTAAGTTATTTATTTCTGAGTGGGTTTTCAAACTATAATCTGGCTTCTTCATGTTGCCAGTGGATAATGTGATCTTCCTCACTAAATATTTTTTTAGCCAGTGTTGGAAAATGAGATTACTTCAGCATCTTTACGAAGTCCATAGGACAAATCAGATTTGTTTATACTGTTTATGACAGCCTGACTGATTTGTTTAAACTTTTGCATGATCTCAAACCTTTAAGTGGTGTGTTTACAGTGCAGCTGTGCCTGGATTTAACTATGATCTAGTCTAACAAATCAATGACGTCCCACTGAGATTTCTCTAACAGTTTAACTGATTTTAGTTGACTTGCTTAAAGTTACATGAAAAATGTTTTCTCTGCTATTATTCTGGCATTTAGCAAATTGTTTTTAATATATTATATGTAAATGTCTAATTTCAAATGTATTGATCAGCTGTTTCCATATTTTGTTTCTGTTTTGATGGCAGTTTTTCTCCAAACTTCACTGATCTCTGTGGCTACTGGTAAGACTTTACATCTTATTATGAAAGAGAGACTTTTCCACACCAGAAATATGTTAGTTTTATCTGCAGTCTGTTGGTTGGTCATTCAAGAAGGCCTATCAGCTATAGATTAATTTAAGACATTCGAAAGGCTCCTAAACAAAGGTTGAGAAAAGATTTGGGGGATAATTTTCTCACTAAACTTAGTCTAAAACCTGCTGTGTAACAATTAAGCATGAGTCTCCTTTGAACGATAGCAAAGTGAAATTCATCATAAATGTCTGAAACTGGTTTTCATTTGCAGTGTTGTGTCTAAAACATAACAGAAGCAACAGTTNCCCCCCGCCCCCCTTTTGCAATGGCACTGCACGTCCCACACTTTGGGAACCACTGACCTCCACACTGTGTAAGATGCTCCTTTACTTTCATTTTCCCCAGGTTATCTATGGCAGATCCATTTCACAGGAAAGTGTTATTTACAGCATCAGTTATAGTTGTGATATAAAATAGACTCCATTACCATGTCATGTATACTTAAAGCTTTGGTTCTCTAGGTTCTCTGGACCTTAACGGTTCTACAGCTCGTTAGCTGGTTGTGCTAATTAAAGAGATCTCAGATGTTGGTGGTGGAATCTGATGAAAACTCTCTGTGGTTTTGAGGTCTCAGTCTCAGCTGCCCTGCTGAAGCCTCAACATTCCACAACTCTGGCGTTTCCTCATTGAGCCCTAGGCATTTTTAAGCTTTTCCTTTTCTCAGTCTCACAAACTATAATGTTAGCAATAAAACAGATATAATGATGCAACTCCTCCTTCTATTAACTCTAGAAATGTTGAACTCTAGCAATTTAAAAGACACTAATCTGCTTTCATCATTTCCATGTTATTACTGTCACACATCCTGGAAAGTGACAAGAGTGGCATTCTTGGAAGAGATGCATCTCTACCATGAATGCCACACCCATCTGTAGTACCTTTAAACATGTAGAGCATCTCAAGACTTTGTCTCTGTGTGTCTTGAAGCCTTGAAGCCTTGAAGCTGTCATCCGCTTGTCTGTGTTGTGAAATGCATTTATAGTGTTTGGATGTTGAACTTATTTTCTTGATACTTTATTTTATGTCAAGCTTTCACTGATGGATTACAGGCTCATCCTGTTTGGGCTCTCAGGTTTGTGTCTGTTGCTTTTCTGATTCTAACTTCTTAAAGTCTTTTTTCTTTTAGACTTTTTTTTAGACCACCTTTTTTTGCTCAGATATAGAAATGTGTAGGGAAAAATAAAAACACTTCAGTTATTACGAAAAATTAAGTTATTTATTTCTGAGTGGGTTTTCAAACTATAATCTGGCTTCTTCATGTTTGCCAGTGGATAATGTGA